AAAAAAAAGAAGAGGAAACGATTACAAAATTAATTTAAGATTCGAGATTAATCTCAGAAAAATTAATCCAGAAATTGTTACATAAAGCTCAGAAAAATTGCCTACCCTTTGATCTAATCCACAAATACGGCGGGAAATTAGCCTTTGAGATCCCGCGAACCTGGTTTGGACTCTCTGCATTGAGGCGGTGGTGGCGCCCCGCGAATTACGCTGATGGTTTTCGGGCTCCCCAAAAAGGCGCGCCCGTGGATCCCGCCGTTCTGGTTTGGTTTCCTTCTTTCTACCTAACGAGCGCCATGGATTCTGGTGATGAGATCACCGGACTCATCGATGCAGAAGAGAGTCGACTGTCCAAGGAAGATGAATTTCCTGTTAGCACCTTAGGGGTTTTCTCTTTTGAATATTTGGCATTTGATGTCATTTCTTTTCCATTTTTCAATTTAATCCCTGAGAGTGAGAGGTCTCCTCTTTTGAATTTTTGGCAATTGATCCCATTTCTTTTTTCCTCCTTTCACATTAGCCCTTAATATAAAATCCACAACTTCGTTAGTTTTCAATTAAGTCCACCTCTTTACTCTTTTATTTATTTATTTATATTATTTCAACTTTTTATTTTTTCATGTTTCTCCTTTCATTTCAAATTTGCGTCTTTCTCTTTTTATTAAATTTGAGAATTTTGTTGAAATATACCCAATTAAAAATTAGGTTATGACACCACATCACTAAATTAGTTTTTGACCAAAAAAAAGGCCTTTAAATTGACGAAGAAATCTTTAATATTTTTACATATATCTCATCTTTCCACTCTCTTCTTTATTTAATGAAAAAGTAGTAAATTAATTTGAGATATTTAATAGCGCCACAAGATCATTTCTGCCTCTAGATTAAAGGTGAAATTTTGTCTCAAACCCATAATTTTTTATTGGGTAATTTTTTCTATATTCGTTATTTGATTTAAATTGATATTTTCAAATTTTGATTGGTTTCCAGATATACATCTCCTTTCTTTTTCTTTTTTTTTTTGGTAGTTTTTTTTAAATCTTTTTAAAAA